ACTCTTTTGTATGTAGGTTGACCCTGTGACTAAGTGATTACACTATTCAAAGGGCTTTTGTGGTGTCAAAACTATCTTTTGCATTGATGTAATGAAGACCCCTGTAAGGTGACACTTTGGGGCGCACAAAGGAATGCACCTACAAGGATTTCACAAATGGAAAACCCGATACCTTCAATGGGAGCGGGGGCTTCATCACACTGATGCAATGGTTCGAAAGGACTGAAGCATTCTTTGAGATCTGTGCTTGTCCTGAAGTAAACAAGGTAAAGTATGCAGCATTCACTTTCACCGGTAGGGCTCTCACTTGGTGGAATGGCCGAGTTAAATCACTTACCCCCACGGTGGCTAACTCCATAAGCTATGAAGACCTGAAAGCATTGATGCTAAAGGAGTATTGCCCGAGGGGCGAGATACAAAAACTCGAAGAATAACTCTAGAACTCATAATGTCAGGCACAGATCTTGAAACTTACACCGCTCGATTCAATGACCTAGCACTCCTCTATCCAACAATGGTCACTCCAGAGGAGAAAAAGGTGGAACGATACCTCTGGGGACTGGCATCCCAGATTCAAGATAGTGTATAGGCCTTAAAACCTGCTACCTTTGAAAGTGCCAAGGAATTAGCACAACAACTCATCGATCACAGGGACAACCGTGGTACCATGACCGCCACCACTGACCAAGAAAAAGGAGGGAACAACAAGAGGAAGTTCTGGAACAATAGAAAGAAGCAACCGACACAGGATCCTGCCAAGAAGCAACAGACTGTGGCTGTCCGTGCTGCCACTACTGCTACCACTCCAGCACCACTGAAACAATATGCTGGAACCCTACCGAAGTGCAACAAGTGCAACTTCCACCACACTAGCGCTTATCGGGAAATGCACTGCAAAAACTTCGATAGGAAGGGGCATACCGCTCGTTTCCGTAAAGCAGCAGCGCGACCGATCAACCAAGTTGCCAATGGAAGGGCAAGCCAAACCTGCTATGGATGTGGTGAAGCAGGGTTTGCTTGGTTATTTGAAATATTAATCAAAAGGTATGTAAACCCTACTCCCTTGTAATTTTTTTTTATTATAGTAGGGTTTCCTTAAGGTTCTTGGTTTTTATAGATTGTTGTCATCAACAGAGAAAACTTAGATCCAAATAGGCTCCATGTGAACTTAAGGGTTAAGTTTTTCTGCCACATGTTTTTAGTTATAACATATAAAACCCGTCGGTGATATCAGAGCCATAGTTTTCTATTTGACGGTGATCAATTTATTATTCAAGATTGTTACAAAGAATTGATGAATATAACCACATGTTTCAATGTACCATTTAAAATGTTCAAAATCTTTTTTTTTTCATTTCTTATGCATGAAATGAAATGTACTAACCCCAAGTCCTTTCTTCCAAATAGATATATTTCATTTTTTTTATGAAAAGAGATTTCCATCTGAACATTTACTTTGATCTTTAGTCACTTAAATTTTTCCAAAGCTTAGTTAATGTTGATTACACTGGTCACTCAAGTATTTTCTTACAATGTTTCGCTCCTATGTTTTGTTGCGAAATTGTTTGAAAATTAAGCCTACCTTTAATACTTGATAAAAAAGCCCTTCAATACTTCTCTATAAGTATTTGATTGTAATTCACGAGAAATCACACAAGCACTTTCATTTCTTTCTTGATATCGAATGAAGAGTATCTTTCGTCGAGATCTTACTGCCTTTCTTTGATATCACACTTTATCCAAAATTTTCTTATTTTCATTCTATATTTTCTTTTGGAAAACATTGGCATTGAAATCATTGAGGTTTTCGGTATTACCAACTCATACCAATATTTCGCAAAGTCTGACTTATGATTTCATTTCTTATTCCCACAAGTGAGTAAAGCCTAACCTTAACTATCAACGATTGGTCCTTGGATACTATCGAAGCTTGGTGACTCTTCGATTCTACTGGTGATTTGGGATAGATTTCAAATAGAAAGAGATAGAGTGAAAACGATTGAGAGAGGTTTCGTTTGTGACCTTTTTGAGTGTCCGGCTTTGCAATGCAAGGTCCGTAAACCCTGTTAAGCCAAGTTTTAATGTCGTACACACTCCCGATGAGTGTACAATAGTGTTTTATCGCTTTGGTTCAATGTTTAGCATTATCATGGCTATGGAAACTCAATCATACGAATTTTCCAATTGATGTTTTCTCATTAAAATAGCGTGTTGTTAAGTAAATACTTAATGTAAACCCTAATATACAAGGGCTAATTTAGTCATCTTTTTTGACTTGTTGACTTTGTTTGACTTTGACTTGAATCGAAATTGGCTATTGTCACACAAACCATGAGTACGGTTGCTTTCAAAACTATTTGAAGTATGGATTTACTTATGGTCTATCTTTTAATACAAACTATGGGCTTCGTTACTATCGAAACTACTTTTAAGAGTGGATTTACTCATGCAAAGATACATTTTGGCTTTCAAAGAGTATTTCCAAACATAGTTTTATGTATAGTAATACTTACAAAGAAAATCGTTTTTAGACTTTTCGAAAGTATTACTGTTGTTAACAGAGAACCTATAACTCCCACTAACCTTGTGTTAACCCTCAAAATATAATGTATTCTTAGCGCATCTCTAAACAGACATTCAACATGGAAAGGATTACAGGTAACCTTGGTACTAGTTTTTGTTGTGTCTGCGTAATTGTTTAAGGTAATTTATGTACTATACAATTATCTGTAAGAACCATGTATTCAAACATAAAGATGGAATGCAAATGTTGTTATGTTTAATGTTGTAATTGCACTATATATTCAGTTTACATGTGATCCATGAACTTAGTCACACAGCCCGACATCTTTCACCACTTCGGCCGGGGGCGTGACAACAACACGTGATGAAACAGGTGTTTAGGGGTAGCCAACTCGAACACATATCAAAGATGCTGAAGATCCAGTTAATGAAGATGATTACAATAATGATACTTTATCTATTGCAGAAGAAATTTCAGAAACTGAAGAAATATTTGTAGATGCTCATTTAGATTTTGATTCATCATTTCTTCCTATGGAGAAATGGACTTGTGATCATCTCAAAGAACAAATTCTTGGTAATCTTGATTTTGGTGTGTTAACAAGAGCACATATTATATCAATAAATGAAGTTTTTAATGTTGGTATACACTTGAACTAAAATTAAAGTCTTTTTTGGGTTGCCCTCAAAACTAACAATTTAGTGGAATGACTTTCGGAGAAAGAGGTTGATATATTGGTTTACTAATGATTTATGATAGCAATAAATAATTTGTTAATATGTTATAAGATTAATATATTAATTAGAAATACTATTTTTTAATTACTAATTAATAAGAAATTAATTGGAATTAGTTTTAGGATTAATTAGATTAACTAAAAGTGAAGGGACTTAAGCTTAATTATTCAATAGTTAAACAAGTGAGGTTCAAGAATCTTCCATGGGTTATCGACGATTTTTAATATTTTTTTTAGGATTTTAGATTAATCCTTAAAGATAATTAAGGAGTTAGATATTTACCAAATTTAAAATAATAGTATTATATTCAAATTAGGGTTTCCAAGGCTCCTTGTATCAGCTATAAACGGAGCTCATTGGCTCGTCATTTTAGCCACCACTTCTAGCAAAGGAATAGCTAAAAATCCTATTCCCTCTCCTCTCTCCTCAAGTCTTTTTATTAGGTAAAGTTTGGGTACAAACAATTACATGCATTAGTTTTTTGTTGCTTGCTTTCCAAGAGATTTTGTAAGAAGGATTTGCTTGGTTATTTGAAATATTAATCAAAAGGTATGTAAACCCTACTCCCTTGTAATTTTTTTTTATTATAGTAGGGTTTCCTTAAGGTTCTTGGTTTTTATAGATTGTTGTCATCAACAGAGAAAACTTAGATCCAAATAGGCTCCATGTGAACTTAAGGGTTATGTTTTTCTGCCACATGTTTTTAGTTATAACATATAAAACCCGTCGGTGATATCAGAGCCATAGTTTTCTATTTGACGGTGATCAATTTATTATTCAAGATTGTTACAAAGAATTGATGAATATAACCACATGTTTCAATGTACCATTTAAAATGTTCAAAATCTTTTTTTTTTCATTTCTTATGCATGAAATGAAATGTACTAACCCCAAGTCCTTTCTTCCAAATAGATATATTTCATTTTTTTTATGAAAAGAGATTTCCATCTGAACATTTACTTTGATCTTTAGTCACTTAAATTTTTCCAAAGCTTAGTTAATGTTGATTACACTGGTCACTCAAGTATTTTCTTACAATGTTTCGCTCCTATGTTTTGTTGCGAAATTGTTTGAAAATTAAGCCTACCTTTAATACTTGATAAAAAAAGCCCTTCAATACTTCTCTATAAGTATTTGATTGTAATTCACGAGAAACCACACAAGCACTTTCATTTCTTTCTTGATATCGAATGAAGAGTATCTTTCATCGAGATCTTACTGCCTTTCTTTGATATCACACTTTATCCAAAATTTTCTTATTTTCATTCTATATTTTCTTTTGGAAAACATTGGCATTGAAATCATTGAGGTTTTCGGTATTACCAACTCATACCAATATTTCGCAAAGTCTGACTTATGATTTCATTTCTTATTCCCACAAGTGAGTGAAGCCTAACCTTAACTATCAACGATTGGTCCTTGGATACTATCGAAGCTTGGTGACTCTTCGATTCTACTGGTGATGACGAAGTAACTGCTGGGAAGTAACGTCACTATTGCTTTATCATGGATCGAGAAAAGTGCTCATTACATGTACATGTGGTGGATAGAGTTGATGTCGCTTCAATTACTTACTTTACATTTGGTAGTTGTTCATTGTATTTTGATTTGAATCTGAACTTGATGTCAGTTAGAAAAGATGACTTGGTACTACAATTCAATCTTTCTGATTCCCATCATTTTTGAAAGAACCCTAACCCTATTTTCTCGTCATAATCGAAATTTTATCCTCGTTCAACATGGCTATTGCAAATACTGTTGTTGATCACTTCAACACAATTGAAGATGAAGTTTTTGTGCATAATATGAATGATTCCATTCTAGCACATACTTTGACAAATTCTTTTTCCATTATAATGAAGTGGTTATCAATCCCTGGTTCTATGGCCATATATAACAAGACAATGAAGATTGTAACATTTAAGATGGAATTGAAAGGCGATAAAAGATTGAATAAGAAGCAGTTTGCCCAAATTCTTCAATTATCTTCAGAAGGATCATTTGAAGTTCCTATGAATGATCAAGTACTTCAAGTGTTTAATGTAATTGTTTATCAACGTCAAATTTCTTTTGTATGAAGTTTGATTTTCCATCAAGAACTTCGATATCTCAAGAGCAAATCTCTTATGTGGTTTTGTTAGTGGAGTCATGTTTTTAAAACCAAACTTGCTCCTATTCCAGATTTGAATCTTCGATTACCTACCAATGCTCCACGCCTGTCTACATACGTGTCACAAAGGGGAGATGAGGGGGTGGTTCATCGAAAGATAGTGGAGAAGATAAAGGAAAAGTAGTTGGGAGGGTGTTTCCTACTCAAATCCCAACTTCACTACCAATGAAATCCATTGTGACATCTTCAACAATAACAACTATTACTCTAAATCTTGAAGTTGATATGTATAAGTTAAAATTGAAGAAGGATTGAACTTAAATGAAAAAGGCTCTACTCTTCGACAGTCAAACCATGTGTAACTTCATTTGAGCCAAAAGGAAAGGGAAAAGGTGTACAAGTGTAGCCAATAGTAGAAGAGAAAAAGAAACTTCTAGAATTGGAGATGGAAAGAATAAAGTAGCAGAACATCATCATGAGGATGAGAGCGAATGACCTATTTGGTATTAACAACGGAGATCCTGACAAGGTTTGGTGTTACAAAATGATTGAAAGCACAACTTATAGCAGAGTAGATGATTTTGAAGAAAAAAAAGTTATACCATTGAAGATTCATATTTCAATATACTGGATTTTCCAGTGAATAATGTTTATTATTTATTAGTTCAAGATTGCTGAGAATTATAATGACACTAAAGAGTTTAAGAAGTTGAAGATTCATTTCCATGAGGTTCTGAGAAAGAAAGAACAAGATATGTGGTCACTTATATCAATAACTCCTGATACTATGTTCAAAGGAGTCTTGAAAAAATATCGATATAATGATCTTATGGCAAACAAAATTTTATTTGACTTCACCATTCCTGACTTTCCCTTGATGAATCTGAATGATCTCATGATGATTGAAAAGATCATGGGGGATTTGAGTAAATCCCAAATTCAATACAAAGCTTCATACGTCACTAGGTTTGGTCACATCAAAAGCTTTTTAGACTGTCATTTTTCTCATCTAGCATTAACAGATATTGAGTTCTCTACTTCTTTCAATAAGAAATCAAAAGTTCCTAAGGCATTATTGAAAGGAAAAATAAAAATTGACTATAATGAAGACGGATAAATCATCAATCAATCGCTAAGGGTTGTTTTCCAAGGAAAGAATAAGAAGGGAGGGAAAAAGAAAATCCTTTTTTCGTACTCATATTGTTGAAAGATATTCGAATCAACATCTTTGACACATTCTTCTTCTCCTTAACAATTGTAATAAGAATTTGAATGAAGACATGTCAGAGATAAGGAAGATCATCTTTTATTACATGAAAACTAAAAGAGTTTTGTGACAAGTGATAAAGAGAATACCTTCAGTCTGAAGATTCGATGTTGACCACAAAGGGGGGGATTGTAGAGTCATATTTGTTGTGATAAATTGAAGCTTAGGTAGTTGTCTTTTTTGTGATTGTTATGTCAATATCGAAGGTCAACAAAACTTCGATAATGTATGTATTATATCAGGCACATTTATAGATTCGCTAATGTCGAAGTCCTGATATGTTTTTGTACCTATCAAGTACTTTATAAATAGAGTAGGTACATAAGTTAGTTGGAGACTTTGATGTTGTGAGCGTTATGCATAATCTTTCTACATATGTACTCGTACTAATCCAAATAAATTGAGCTGAAACAAGATCATATTACATCATGTGTTCATTTGTACTCTGGTTTCATTTTTATGATTGATTAAACATCTTTTCATATCTTTTCGATTAGTTACATGGTGCATCTTGGTTATCCAAGATTGATTTGAGGTTGGGATACCACCAGATGAGATTTAGAGAGGAGGATATTAAGAAGGCATATTTTCAAACTTGTTATGGTAATTATGAGTTCATGGTGAATCCATTTGGGCTCACTAATGCACTTACAACATTCATGGATTTGATGAATAGATGAAGACATTCATGTTGTAAACCCTAATTTTTAGGGTTTGAACCCTATTTAAAGATCATTATTGCCTTATGTACCCTCTTAACTTGAGCCTCCTTCCTCATTTCGAAACCCTAAAGTGTGTGGCTGCCTTGTGAAGCTTGTAGAGCCTCTTAGTGCAATTTTGGAGCTTTTGGAGAAGAAGAAATAACCTTGAGGTTGTGGTGTTTCACTCAAGGCCTTGGATCTATCATCTACATTAATTTGTGCAACTTCTGGAGGTATAAATCTCCAAACTTGATCAACATTTCTTTTAGATCTAGTTTTAGTTAAAGTTGGTCCCTTTTTGTCCCAAATTTTGACCTTTGTGAGCATGGAATGCTCCATGTCATTTGAGTTGTCCTTTCAGAGTTTTAGGGATGGGCTTAGTAAAAAAATGGGATCTTGAACATTGGTTTCTTCCCATGCATGGTCTAGGTTGTCTTAATGTGTCAAGATGCTAGGGTGTTTATTATTAAGGTCTTAATAGCCATGCGAAAACATAAAGTTGGAAACTTTTTGGTTAAGATCACATTTTAGGGTCTGGATCTAGATATTGGGAAAAGGTGTTTAAGGATTAATAACCATGCACTTAATGGGTTGAGTTGGTTGGCAGCCGCGTATGTTGGGCATACCAAAGGGTATGCTGCGAGTACGTGGTCAACCCCTCAGTTCTGGTCAAACGTGTGGTATACCCCACATACCTATTGAGTACACCCAACATACTTACTTAGTTGACTTAATTGACTATGTTGAGAGAAAAACTTTTGAGAAACACTTGAATAAACGTTAGTACAAGTTATATATTGCGGAAATAAGTTAATCTTAAAAGATCATATAAAGCTCAACAATAATAATAAGTTAGATTGTTAGATAATTAGTTTGCAGAATTAATGGTGCAGAAAAGTAAAGGAAATATAAATGACAAGTTATGTCAAGTATACACCAAACTGATTCATACACAGTTTGCACTCAAACACGAGTCAGTAAGAGAGGTCAGTTTAAAGTGCAGAGGATCTTTGATGATGATCAGTAAGATAGAGATATATGAGAAACATCTTTATATTTCAGAGAGAATATTAAAAGATCGTAGAGAAGAGATACGAGATAAGAGTTGAGAAAAGTGAAGAGTGTAGAGTGTATTTGATTCAAGACATGAGAACTCTATCTATAGAGTCTCCAAAAGTTACATCCGTAATAAACAAATAATAAAGCTACTGACTATTATGACCATGCAAGGTCCATTAGATATCCTAAGGTTATCACACCAAGTTAGTTGCACGTAACTGAGTCTTCACTTTGATGCACATGTTGCGGTAGAAAGACAAGTGGTGGTAGCAAAAGCAGTCGCGGTAGATAAAGGATGATTGCGGTTCTCCAAGTTTAAGAGGGTCACTTCTTTGCCTTAACATTTCCCCCCTAAGTGACCCCTTGAACTTCACCTCCATTATGTATTGAGCTTCACAAACTTGATCAGGATCCACCAAAACTTCCTTACTTTACCTAACCAAGTGATCCTTCTAGTAAACTCATATTTTACTTCATCCGTCAATGTCACTTCAAGTTGTTTGTGGGTAAGACGATGCATTGTTGTGATTGGGATGAAGTACTTTATATCATTGTTGGATATTTTGTACACAACTCCAAGTTCTAGGAAGTTGGTTTCTCCTAAGGATCTATCTTTTTATCCTTTGATGAAAATAAAGTGCAGGTCCAAGATCTGGGAGATTGATTTTTTGAGCGAGAACCGGATGAATGTCCGCATCAATCTTGGCAAAGTCATAAACTGCCGACTTAAGATATCCACAGGCCTTTTCATATGCGATTTTCATATTCAGATGTTTCTCAGACTTGATTTGAAACACCCTAGCAGTCAGAAACACTTCCTTAAGATTCATGCAGGGAAAATCTGCTTGAGTCCTGATGTAGTCGTCGCCTCTTCTTGTAAGTGTGTACTGGATGAATTCTGTCTTCATGAATTTCCTTATCTTGTAACTTTTGACTACAGAGGGTCTATCATTAGACTAGATGTTCTGAAAATTAGATCCATGCTTGACGTGGAATCTATCTAAACGTTCAAACTCGAGAGGTAGGCTTGGGTCATCGAGAAGACTGCAGTCAAAGGGTTCAAAAGCTGAGAAGTATTTTCCATTGGGAGAGATTGGAATATTCTAATATACTGTTGGATAAGGTGTCTAAGTCCATAAGTATTTCTGGTATACACTTGACCCGACCCGGCATGGTCCATTTGGGTTGCATGGCACCATGCAATTGGATAGACTAAATGAGAGAAATAACACTTGGAGATTATTAATATATTATAAGTTCTAATATATTAATAATATTATTTGATTAGTTTGATCAAGAATTAATTTAGAATTAATTAAGTGATCAAAAGATAACTAATAAATATATGGGCTCATTATGTAAATCATCCATATCTTGTATAGTGGGCTAAGAGGCTCCATGGATTATCAAGTTGAGTTCCACCCATAGGATGCTCCATGGATGCTCCATGGGAGTTACAAACCCATGGGTCATGGAAATGAAGAGTCATGAAACATTAGGGTTTACATGGTGTAACCCTAGATGTGTCAACACTATATAAGGATCCCATTCTCCACCAAAATCGGCTACACATATGAAACAAGAGGGCTAGGCCGATTTCAAGAAGTGTGCATTCTCTCAAAAGTCTTTCCAAGAGCATTTGGTGTTGTGTGAAGCATTTGAGGCATCACACTTGGGGTGCTAGGCTCACCAGGTTTCAAGGAACATAAGCAACTACAAGGTAAGTTATTCTATCTATCATTCAAGTTAAAAATTGTTCCCCATGTATGCTAGATAGGAATACAGCCTTGGAATTCAACTTTGCATGATAATTAGACAAACATAGATCCAAGGTTATTAGGGTTGCATGCACACTTAGGAAGTGTTAGAATGCTCAAATCCCATCAGTGGTATCAGAGCCTAGGCTTGTTTGTTTGTTATTTGTGCTAAAAAGTTGAAAAAAGTCGGAAAACATGCTGTCTGACTGCTGGACTCGTCGAGTTCACTTGTATCTTCAACCTACTCGTCGAGTAGGTTTATGCACTCGGCTAGTAGGGTCGACAGGGTGCATATTTTCGACTTTAGTTGCTGGAAATGGATTAGAAACATTACCCTAAACTGCTTTGGTACTTAAAAACTTGTTTTAGATGGTGTAATGTCTTTGCTAATTCATTTACA